CAGCAAAAAGAAGCCCAAGGTATGAGCAAGGCCAGACACTGATGGGACTGGGCCTGGAGAGGTTGTATTAATTAAAATTGTTTAGGAAAATGGAAGATTCTGCGATGGGAAGTGTTGGAAGAGCCAGTTTGGGGGAGGTTTGGAGCCCTAAAATGGCTGCAGCGCTGCAGTGGGGATAGTGAGGCTGGGGCTGGGTCAGTTAGACTCTACAGGGGTTGGGCACGGGGTTTGTGTCTCTCTGAGGTGGCTCTAGGACAGTAAACCTGTGTCAGGTGGCGCCAGCTGAGCATGGAGCTGGCACAAACCTGTCATTGTCAGCTCTTGTGTCTGAGGTGGGGCTGGGAGCTGCTGCTGGGCTGGGGCTGGTGACTTGTCCTAGCTCAGGCTGAGTTGGAAACAATTTTTAAAGTTCTCAAGTAAAACCCACAGACACATTTAGGTGGCCACTGCAGCGAGACACTCTTCAGGGCTGGTGGGGTCTGCCTGTTCCCCCCTGCCCTGGCTGCCACAGCCCCTTGTCCCCCCAGGCCGAAGGCTACGCTGAGGGTGACACCACCCTGTACCACCGCTTCACCCTCATGGACTTCCTCAAGGCTCCCAACCCCGTGGACTTCCTCTCCAAGGCCAACGAGGTGTGTGCCTGCAAGGACTCCCTGTCCCTGTCCCGTGGAGGGGAGGCTGGGATCTAAATCCTTTTCCCTGTGCCAGATCACGCTGGGGGATGGGGAGCTGGAGAATCACAGCTCCACCACGGAGGAGCTGCGCCAGTGCTGCAGGGACATCCGAGTGCTGGGCCGCAAGGAGCTCAGGTGCTGGGGGACACTGGGACAGCCCCAGCTGGGCCTGGGGGACAGCCACACCCCCCAGCTGGGCCTGCTGGCTGTCCCTGACAGCTGCCACCCCACCCAGGGCCCTGCTGAACTGGAGGACAAAGCTGCGGCGGTTCCTGGCCAAGAAGCTGAAGGAGCAGGCGAAGGAGTTGGATATCAAGTAGGACTGGGGAGCAGGGCTGTCCCCGGGCTGAGGTGGGCTGCCCTCAGCACAGCTCCTCTGAGCTCCTTCCTTTTGGCAGCCTGAGCTCTGGAGAGGAGGAGGACGGCAAGGAGGAGGAAAAGATGGAGAAGATGGAGGCAAAAGCTGCGGCTGCTGAGGCGAAGGAACAAGAGGAGGTGGAGCTGGCCTTGGCAGAGATGAAGGCTGAGGAGCTGGCAGAGCTGAAGAGGTAGAAAGAGGAGGAGAGATGGGGCTGCAGCCATGGAGACAGAGAGTGGCAGTGTCAGCCTGTTCCTCTGCTGGGGGGGATTTGTGGGTTTGGGGTCCTTGGGCTCCTCTAAGCAGCTGTTCCAGGCTGTCCCAGCACTGGGAGCCTCTCACAGGGGGTTGGCAGCGGGGTGGCAGGCACCGAGCCTCTGGGGTGTTTGTGTGGAATGGGGACAGTGTGGCCACACTCCTTTGCCTCCCCCAGGAAGAAGAAGAAGATCCTGAAGGAGCAGCGGAAGCAGCGGGAGCGTGTGGAGCTGAAGATGGACCTTCCTGGAGTGTCCATCGCTGACGATGGTGACACCAGCATGTTCTCCCTGCGCAGCATCCACAGGACCCCGGTGCGTGGGGGAGCTCCCGGGGACGCTGGGCTGGGACAGGGCCTGCCCATTGTGTCACTTGTGTCACTTGTGTGACTCCACCCTGTGCTGCAGCTGCTGGATGAGCTGTCTCGGGGGGACATGGCCTCGGCTGATGCCCTGCTGGAGATGGGCCCTGCTGACGATGACATTTACCTGTCGGATCACGACGAAGAGGACGACGTGTCCCTGGCCAGCGACCTGGACCCGGAGGAGCTGCTGGAGATCGAGGCCCGGCAGCGAAAGCTGGAACGGGAGCGGGCTGGGAAGAGGTGAGAGGGGAGAGAGAGGCCTCCTGGCACAGGGGCTGCCCTGGAAGCAGCTCCAGGAGCCAGCCAGGGCTGGGGACACTGATCCTGCTGCTCCGTGTCACAGGCCGAAGTTCAAGCAGAAGGAGGAGGAGGAGGAAGTGCAGGAAGTGGAGAATCCTCTGCTGGTGCCCCTGGAGGAGAAGTCAGTGCTGGAGGAGCGACAGACCAGCCTGTGGTTCGGAAAGGTGAGTCCTCTTGTGGGACAGCAATGATGGAGCAGCCTCGGCCCCAGCAGCTGCCCAGGCCTGTCCTGGGCTGACCCCCTCCCTGGGGCTGCCCTGGGCTGACCCCTCTCCCTGGGGCTGCCCTGGGGCTGACCCCTCTCCCTGGGGCTGACCCCCTCTCTGGGGCTGACCCCTCCCCAGCCCTGCCCTGGGCTGACCCCACTGTTCCCATCCCAGGACGCCTTCGCTGGCATCGAGGATGATGCAGACGAGGAGCTGGAGCTGGGGCAGGCCCAGATGTTGGCTGAGAGGCAGCGTGAGGCTCAGAGAGGTGAGGGGACACGGAGGGACAGTCCCACAGCCCAGTGTGGGGCACTGGCTCCAGCCACAATGAGGCTCTGCCCTGAGCAGCAGCATGGAAAGGTTTCAAGGAGCAGCCAGTTCCAAGCCTTGCCATGCCCCTCCTGCTGGACCAGAGGCTGTTCCCAGTGTGTGTCGCTAACGAGCTGTCATTAGTGCAGTATTAATGAGAGGATCTCTAGAGGAGTGTCTGTAGCAGGGTCTGCCTTGGCTCTGTCCCACCCAGTGCTTCCCATTGCCAGACAAAACAACAAAGAAAGGGCAGAAGAAGAAGAAGGAGGTGGCTGAGGAGGAGGCTCCAGCCGAGCCCACCCCTGCAGCAGCCACAGCTCCTGCTGCCAGTGAAGCTCAGGAGGAGCAGAGCAGTGACGATGACAGTAGCAGTGAAGATGAGAGGTGAGGACTGAGGGGGGTCTGGGTGTCCTCCCTATCTCCACAGTCCTGGAGAGCTGAGAGACCCCAGCCCTGGCCACTCCTCTCCACAGGCCGCTGGCACCGGTGGGGAAGAAGCGGGGCCGTGTTGAGCCCTGTGGATTCGAGGTGGTGCCCATTGAGAACCCAGGTGAGCGGGGGGCCGTGGGGAGGGACAGGAGGTGGGAGCAGGGACAGACTGTGCTCCCCAGGGCTGCTCCCTGGCTCCTGGGCTACAGCCAGGCCAAGCTTTCCCATGTCCCACAGTGAAAAGAGTCCTGGATGCAGAGGGCCTGGCCCTTGGCTCTGTCATTGTCTCCTCCAAAAAGGCCCGGCGGGACCTCATCGATGACTCCTTCAACAGGTACCGGGCTGGGGGCTGCAGGGTTTGTTCCTCAGCAGGGACAGGGGAAGTGGGGCCCCTGTGTCCTGCTCACAGCTCACCTGGGCCCCTCCAGGTACTCCTACAATGAGGAGGAGGGGGAGCTGCCCGAGTGGTTCACGGAGGAGGAGCGGCAGCACCGGCGCCGGCAGCTGCCCGTGGACAAGCAGACGGTGGAGGCCTATCGGCAGCGCTGGAAGGAGATCAACGCCCGCCCCATCAAGAAGGTGGCGGAGGCCAAGGCCCGCAAGAAGCGGAGGGTGAGTGGGGGTGGGCCCCAGGGCTGCCCTGACTCCTCTCCCAGGGCCTCAGTCCTCCCTCTGACCCCCCTGTCCGTCCTCCACTGCCCCTGCCCCGATTCTGATTCCCCGTGTTTTCCTGACCCTCTGTCTCTCCTCTGACCCTCTGTCTCTGCTCTGACCCTCTGTCTCTGCTCTGACCCTCTGTCTCTCCTCTGACCCTCTGTCTCTGCTCTGACCCTCTGTCTCTGCTCTGACCCTCTGTCTCTGCTCTGACCCTCTGTCTCTCCTCTGACCCTCTGTCTCTCCTCTGACCCTGGCTGCACCCCAGATGCTGAAGAAGCTGGAGCAGATGAAGAAGAAGGCCGAGGCTGTGGTGAGCACTGTGGACATCTCGGAGCGGGAGAAGGTGGCCCAGCTGCGCCGGTGAGTGGCCAAGCCAGAATCCAGCTCCTCCCTTTGTGGCTGTTCTGGCTGGTGGGGCCGTGTCCCTGCAGCCACTGGGACAGCTCTGTGTCCCCAGCCAGGCTGATGGAGGGGTGGCAGAGCCAGGGGGATGGGACCCGATGTTGTCCCAACGCTGGGTTTGGTTTTTGTCCTGGTCAGACTCACTCTGATCTTTGTCCTTCTCCTGCAGCATCTACAAGAAGGCGGGGCTGGCCAAGGAGAAGCGCCAGGTCACCTACTTGGTGGCCAAGAAGGGCGTGGGACCCCGGGTGCGGCGTCCCCCTGGCGTCAAGGGCCAGTTCAAGGTGGTCGACAGCCGCCTCAAGAAGGACGTGAGGGCTCAGAAGCGCAAAGAGCAGAAGAAAAAGCGCCACAAGTGAGGTGGGAGTGGCTCCATCCCCAGCAAGAGACTCGGCTCAGGGCACAGGGCTGGCTCCTGTGCCCCACTGCCACCTCAGGAGCCCTGGGAACAGGGCTTGGCCACACCTTGCTTAGTCTGTGCCTTGCTGTGACAGCGCCTTGTGACCTCCCCTGGGGCACGGAGGGGTCATTTGGCCCCAGCGCTGCAACCCCAGCCCCTGGCCACAGCTCCAGGTGCCACCAGGCTGGCTGTGCTGGGTGACTCCCCTGGGAGATCACAGGAGCCTCCACAACAGCCCCAGCTGTCCCCAGGGTGGGTGTGGCTCTGGGGGACATCCCTGGGCCAGACTGGTCACTGAGATGGCAGAAGAGTGGTGCCTCTGCCCAGAGCTCAGGGACAGCAGAGTTTAACGCCAGTCTGAGGCTGCCCAGGGCTGTGTCATGTGCCTGGGTGAGATGAGGGACCCATGCTGGCACTGCCACGTCCCCTTGTGCCATGTGACAGAGAGGGCACTGCTGGGTGTGTTCTGTGCCTGCTCCTGCCTCGGGATCCCTCCCCGCTCCACCCACCCAGCTTTGTCTGACAGGGATTGACTCTCCTGCCCTTCACCTCCTGCCCCAGGCCACAGCAGCCACCCTGTCCCCTCTGTCCCCACCCCCTTCCAGGGTGGGACCCTCATGGAAAAGTACAACCGAGAGTAAAGAAGTGATTGACTACGGCTTTATTTAGACCCAGGGCAGTGGGGTCCCAGCTTCTCTCCAGCAGGCACCTGTCTGCTTTGTGCTGGGAGTTCAGAGTGTCCCCAAGTCCCTCGTGGTGACACTGGCACTGTGTCAGTGCTGAGGAGGGGGCTGAGGTGGCACCTCAGAGTGTCCATGCAGGGGTGTCAGGAGGTGGCCCAGGGGTGTCCCTGTGAAGCTCCCACTGTGGCTGCTCAGCCAAGTCCATCGAGTGGCAGAGCTGGAGAAGCCATGTGTGTCCTTGGGCCTGCAGGAGCCCCTTGGCTGCAGATCCAGACCCAGCTATGGCTCCATGCAGAGGGGCCCTGCTGGGGGCCAGTGAGGGTCTCTGGGCCACCTGCTGCCCCCGTGGAGGGTCAGGACCATGGCCACGAGCAGGGACCCTCAGCCATCCCTGTCCTTGCTGTCCACAGGAGCTGGGGCAGGGCAGGGAGGGGCTGCCAGGCTCCAGGCTGAGTTAGACGTTTTCCTTCTCCTCTTCAAGATGGAATATAGGGGTGCTGTGAGAGGAGAGTCCCCACAACCCCCAGCACCATTCTGGCTTACCCCTGACCCTCTGGTTGAGCCCCATCCCTTGGAGCTCAGTGTCCCATCCCGTGTGACCCCAAACCCTGTGTGGAGCTCCAGGGGGTCGCTGCAGGAAGGCCAGGGCTGATGGGGACTGATCCCCCTCCAAGAGGCACAGCAGCCCCTGCACCCCCAGCCTGGACACCTGGGCCCTCCCTGACCTCTGCCCCCAAGCTCTGGCCAGCAAATCCCCAACAATCAGGGCAAGGATGGGCTCCTCTGCCCCCTCCTTCCTGCCCTCCTTCCCCCGGGGCCCAGCACAGCCCAGCTTGGCCCTTCATGGTGGCTGTGTCCCCATCAGGGTCCCGAGGGTGGGGTGACCCCTGGCCTGGCAGGCTCAGCCCCTACCTGAGCTGGGGGGTGCAGTGTAGGCCACATCCACACGGTCACCTGCAGTGGGAGAGGAGCTGCTCCCTTAACGAGCCAAAGCTCATCAGCAGCAGCTGGGAGCTCAGCCAGAGCCCACTGACCCCTGTGGCTGCAGGGGTGGCAGCAGGGCCAGGGGACACAGCCCTGCAGGGCTCACCTGTCTCGTAGTAGTCGTACAGGGACACGGTGGCTGGCTGCAGGTTGCTCACCAGGAAGTCCTGCTGGGCTCGGAAGGAAAAGGTCTCCTCCTCCTTGCTCAGCTGTGGAGACAGCCCAGGGGAGAGGTGCAGCCACCCACCATGGGGAAACCCCAAACGTCCCAGGGCTCCAGCTGTCCCCATCTCACCTGCTCCAGGTAAATGGTCACCTGGTCAGGCTGCACCTCCACCTTCTTCACCAGGTTCTGCCTCTTCAGCTGCAGGAACACAGCTCAGGAAGGGCCACAGCTGCTCCATGGGTGCCCAGCACCCCAAGCAGGTGTCCCTCCATGTCCCAAAGCCCCCAGGGGGGATACCCTGACCTCTGGTATCCCAGAGAGGAGTGGGGGGCTCCTCACCTCCACCACGGATTTCTTGTCTGGGCTGTAGCCCGAGGGCAGCTTGGCCTCGATGACAACCATGTTGGTGACAGGACGGTCCCCGCTGTACCTGCAAGGACAGAGCCCTGGGGTGGGCTTGGGGAATCCTCTTTCCCTGTCCTCCCCACACCCGGGAGAGCCCCAGTGCCTACCGTGCCCAGAGGCGGAGCAGGAACCGCGGGTTCTGTGTGCCAGGCAGCGGCTCTGTCTCCACCCGCAGCTCAAACGCCCCCGTGCTGGGAGGAGGGGGCACATTGTAGCGCAGGGTCACCTGGGGGACAGCACGGGGTGAGGCCAGCGAGGGGACAGGGCCAGGGCCAGGGAGCCCAGGCTGTACCCACCTGTGCCAGGGCACAGCCCTGCCCACGGGCTCGCAGCCCGTAGGTGCCCGGCAGCTCGGGCAGCGCCGCTCGCTGCAGCACCAGCCGGTTGCTGCTGTCCAGCACGAAGTCCTGCGCTGTCCCCGTGGGCGATGTCACCGTCACCGTGAAGTCCCCGTTGCTGCCATGGGTCAGGGTGGCGTATCTGGCCAGGGCCTGCAGGGCCACCACGGTGTCCTGTGCACGGGGACAGCGCCAGGGTCACCCCTGAG